CCCCAAAACCCCAAAACCCCAAAACCCCAAAACCCCGTAATGCATTTAATCGACTATATCGAGATGTGGTATTCTTTATATAAATGTAAAATATATAGACAGTATTATTCACACTCACATATCACTTATATTGATAAATCAAGCAGGCAAATCCCCTTATTTTTCATTGAAAAATCACCTTAATTAATAATTGCCTGCCTAATTTTACTATTCATAGGATATTCGTTGAGAAAACTCACTACTTAAAACAGCATGACTACAAATTTAACTAAGGATCACTACCTGAAGTGGTTGCATTTCCTTCATTATTTTTGCCGTAGCCCTAGCTTGCCTCTTCTCGATGTAATCTTAGATTCCTTTGCTTACTCATGCCTGTCCTATCATTTCTCACTGAGCTAGTTTCTCCGTAGTCTTGATTCTATTAGGCTTCGAAATCCTACTGATTCTCTTTTATTGTCTAATGATAGATATCGTGTATTACTTTTACAAATGCTTTCTCAACATTAGTTGAATCTAAAGCGCTAGTCTCAATGAATGCAATATCTAAAAAGCGTTATGAAACTATTAATAGTATTTACTGTGCTTTTTTGCATATGAACTTGCTTCATCAAACGATACAGCTCTGCTCTGTCTCAAGTCTGATTTATTTCCTACGAGTAGTACTGATATGTTACATTCAGCATGCTCTCTTAGCTCAGCAAACCATCTCTCGATATTTTGGAAGGTACTATACTTAGTAATATCGTAGACTAGTAAAGCTCCGACTGCATTTCTGTAATAAGCATTTGTAATAGCCCTATATCTCTCCTATCCCGCAGTGTCCCAGATCTGAGCTCTCACATATTAATCCTCTACTTTTATTCCTCGTGTTGCGAATTCCACACCAATCGTAGACTAGGAATTTATCTTGAACTGATTCTTGGTATATCGCAGTAGTAGGTTGGACTTGCCTACTCCTGAGTCTCCAATCAGCACTATTTTAAACAGGTGATCGTAGTGATCCTAGTCAGGACTTATCATAGACATTTTTTTCTAATCAATTTTAATTTAAGTTTCTAACAACCCACCCTAATAATTTAAATTAAGTTTAATTATTAAATTTATACAATATAGCTAGTTTAAATAATTTAACTCTTAGTTTATTAACTGAATAGGCTTCTAGTTATAAATCATTAAGGAATAAATTAGAGAGGGTTTTCAAAGGAGTTATAATTGCAATAAAATTAAGCAATTAAAATAATTAGCAATGGAATAAAATGAGATTTATTAGAACAGCTAGGACTCGCCTATTCGATAGAATGATTTGTACTTTAGAACTAGTGATGACGAAACAGATGTCGACATTAAGGATGAGATTTACGATCTTAATTTGCAGTTATTGTCGGATAGATCCTTCGTTTATATTCCTCCTGATGAACAAGCGTTAGATGATTGCTCTAGCCAATCAGAAGATGGTATTGATGAGGAGTTGATGTCTTGCAATGATCTCCATTATAAAGCGAACTAATCTCAATAACATAACATTCGCACAGACTGAGAAGAGTCAAATTTTGATGCTAATTAGCTAGGAGGGAAGAATATTGATTAGAGAACAAGTATCTCTTCACAAAAACCGCAATCCTAACAGACTTCTCAAACGACAGCTATCACTTCGCAATAAAGATCTTTACAAATGAACAACAATAATGATATCACTGTCAAATCTAGAAGAGAATAGATTCAAATCTAAAATAGCTAGCCTCATTATCACGAAGAAAATATATTGAAGAGAAACTTCACTAGATTTTTAAAGCAAGTTGAATAGAAGAAGTAGATGATTTAAGATTAGATCAAGGCTAAACAACTAATTGAAAGACAAGCTGAAATTTAGAGAAAGTAAAATGAATGAAAAAACTTGAACCTTATCTAGCACGAGGGCATGTTTGAACTTTTTAAAAAGAAGAAGTAAAAGCGGAAAAATTACTTACAGTACTGTGAACTCTTGGATCAAGACTATAATTAAAATAAGATAGTTGTAAGTGGCTACGGGAATAATATTGTAAAGACTGTGGAGGGTATGATGAAAATACTAAAGCCTTAAGGTGTCACTCATCAATAGTAATAATCTAGCAACTAGCAATAGAAGAATAAGAAATAGAAATCGCCTGACAAAGGTTAGAAAGATTAGTAAAACCAAAACGAGTTAAGTACAGGATAATTTTAGAGATTCTTTTACAACTTTGATAAGGACAACGCTGATTCAATGTTTGGATATCGTTTAAAGCAAGATAATACACAAAAGAAGTAATAAGACTAGGCATAATTCTTGAAATACATGAATTAGTTTGCATAAAATAAACTTAATGAATTTCAATATGAGATTCTAAGAAATTACATAGAGAAGAGAAAATACCTGAAAAAAATTCTTCACCCTGATGTGATTACTAGTCTAAAAGATTTAAGTCCTGGCAATATAGTTATTGATGATAAATAGTAGTAGTACAAAAAGAAAATCAAGCTGATCAAATGGATATATGACAAGCCATAGCATTAAACATCCTCTGTTATGGAAAGTTGATCTGATTTGAAAAACCCTCCAAATACTTAAATAAAGGTAAAGTCAAAATTAAATACAGCGAGGTAAAGAAACAGTAAGTTAAATAGCTACAAGTAGCAAAGACAGACTACTCAGCTGCAAAAGAAAAGCCAAACTGATTTCTAGCCTCCCCAAAATGATTTACTGTAGGAAGATTCTTAGAATTCAGGGAATTAAGAATCTTAAAGATAGGCGCTTCAAGACAGATTGACAAGTCAATAAACTAAGACTTAAAGGTTTGACCATTTTAGGGATATCAATAAAATTCATAAGAACTCTAGATAAAATGAAAAACAATAAAAAGATCACAACAAGGACCTCATTTCCTATTTAGAGGAAAAATACGTGGGGTTTTTTCCTAATATACCTAAAAGACCTCCAATCGTTACAAAAAATGCAAACATAAACATCAGTAATATTTTCATTTAGTAAAACTTGAATGCGATCAGGAATATCAAAAGTCCTGAATTTATAGATTTCTTTGAGCTTAACCAGAAGAATATAATAAGACAAGAGCTGCCATTTAATTAAGAGATGTATAATAAAAACCTACCAGCAAGGAAAATTCGCAGGAATTAGAATCAAGTTAGTAGTTATAAGAAGTATATAAAAAATTATCCTAATCCACCAAATGGCATTGTAGATAATCTGTTTATGACTGAAGAAGGATAGACTTAAATTAAGAACGATGAAGTTTTATTTGGAATTAATTATGCTCATTTTGCTGGACCATCTGCAATAATAAAGGACTAAGTTCCAATGGAAAAAATACTGCTGAGTCATTATTCAAGCAAGGCTGACGGAAACAGTATCAAGAAACAATAAGCAATCAATAGTGTCTATAGCAATTTAAATTCAAAGCTTTACAATTAAAAGACAAGTACAAATAACAATAATAGTTGTGATGAAAAAGCTGGGAATTTTACGACAATCAAAGAGCCTAGTATTAAATCTAATTTACTGATGAAGTAATAGCAGTTTGAATTTCCAGATAGCTCACTTAATTCAGCTCTATGCTCATTCAACTAGGAGGGTAAAAATATGCATAAATTCTATCAATCACCCCCAACTCAATAACATAACCAGCTGAGAAAGAATGCTAATAATATACTTAATGATAATTTTCATTTAAAGGATTCTCTTGAATAGTTATCCCTCATGGAGAGCAAAACTTCAGGGCAGCATATTCCATCAAGCATGGAATATTACAAATTAGAATAGATGTCTTAGCAATAATAGCTTTAGCATTAGTAAAACTTACTTTAGCGGCGGATTATAATAGACAACTACAGTTCTGAAATGGGTCTGGATACTAAGCACTAGATACTTCAACAAAACATATTTATGATGAATGGAGTACCTCAACCTTATGAAGACTCTCAGGACTCGCATAATTAAACACAAACAAGTGGCTTTATGAATTATAAAAATTAGTAACTGCTTAATGAAGGAGAGAAATATTCAAGACAGCCTAAGAAGTCACTGGGGAACGAGTCTAATCTGGACTATAATAAATAGAGGGGTGTATTTTACCAAAAGCCTAGCTTTACAGTAAAACTGAAGAACAGATAAATGCTGAGTCTAGATCACTACAAGCAGTCAACTTTGAGAACTACTCAATATCAGTAAAATGAATTGTCAATTTAGGGTACTTAGAGAAAAGATAATTAGATTTTATTTTGAAATATATATTCTTAACTAATCGAACTTATTAATTCTGCTAATTTTTTCTTCTATAGACATTGGGGTTTTGGGGTTTTGGGGTTTTGGGG